TCCCCCCCCCCCCCCCCCCCTAAAGACCCTTCTGGTGGCACAAAGACCACTCTTTTAGCCACCCTGCACTGTGAAAAGCTACCTCTGAAGCAGCTCAGGTTCTAGGCTGAGGGTGCAAGCTGCTTGTGACATGAGTGGCAGCAGCAGCTCCTCAGGAGGCAGCTGAAAGGAGGGCTTAGTCTTAGCCAGGAGAAATCCCCTCTGCCCTTGACCTGCTCGTTAACCTTAGTTAAATGCTCTAAGTGGGCTGTGGCTCGGAGTCTCCACCTAGAAAATGGAAATAATAACACTCACTTGAAAACCGGATTAAATTATTGCCGGTCAGAGGATCTTTTAGTTAGATCCTACAGCTGTTGCTTTGTGAAGGTGGCCTTTAGGACCAATTCATAGTGTAGTTGCAAAGATTTATTTTTAGTGGAATAAATGGAATAAAATGTGGGATTCCCATCCCAGCTCATGAGTTCTTTTCTTTCCTATTAACAGAGCAGTGGTGTCCTGGGGAGAAAGTCGTAGTTTCTGGAGCATGTAGTAATTGTGCAGCAGGGAGAAGGCTTGGGGACTGGCTGGAGGTGGCCAGTCAGAACCTGCTGCCAGTGGCCCACGCAGATAGCCCAGCGTGCCCATCCCACCTGGGCTGCAGCTGCCTTGTGTGAGCACATCCAGCACCTCCATGTTTTATGGCGTCCTGTTGTGTGTTTGTTTTGCACGTTCTCATTCTTCAGTCATACCCTGCACTGTGAAAATTTTGTTGGAGGGACTGGCTTTAATTTTCAACCATTTAACAGGCACGTTCTCTGTTCCTTCCTCAGTTTAGATCAGCACAACCAGCCCCCGGGCGGCATCGTCATAGACAGAGAATCTGAGGTTTACAAGATGCTCCAGGAGAATCAGGAGTCAAACGAACCACCCAGACAATCTGCTTCCTTCCTCGTCTTGCAAGAGATTTTGGAGTCAGAAGAGAAAGGTAAGCACTCGCTGCACACCTCATCTGAGTGTGCTCTTCCCTTTTGCTGTTCCTTGTCCTGTCTATGGTGTTTAAGAGTAACATCTAAAACTTTATTTTCCATCCTTCGCTGCTGATTGATTGTTCAAGGTACTGTGTGTCTATGATTTCAACAGAACCAGACCCTTTCACTAACTTTACTTCTAAATTTCCTCTCCTTGACTAGTTTTGGTGTCTTTGGGCCCATATCGTTGCTTATTCATGGAGTGCTCAAGCAATAAACCCCTACAATATTGAGTTATCAAGAAGGGATTTTAAAAGTTGCAAAACCTCTTCTTTACTTTCTAAAGTTTTGCCCCTTTAAGGTAACATTCACTGATTAAAGAGTGTCTTGGATTCAGGACTTTGAATGGTACCACAGGACAGGGCTCTTCAGTGAGTCCTAAAGCTTCTGATCTCCATCCCTCTGCACAAGAAAAAGGATCCACTTCTGCCACTGAATGTAAAAATATAGAATGTAGAAATATTACAGTGAGCAGTTTGTCGCTTTTAATCTCTGAAACTTCGCTCTGCTTGGCATTCTTCATCTGACATCTGGACTTGTGCAGCTCAGGGATATAGACTTTAAGATAAAAAAAGCCAATTAACTTTGGTGGGAGCCAAATCGTACTCTCTTCTCCCCTTGGATAAAATAAAATCAACAAATAAATAGGAAAAGAATTCCAAGAATGACTTTTCCTTAGGCCAGTTGGGACTTTGTCTTTTGTGTTACTAGCTTGGCAGTGGTACATTCAATTTCATCCAACAAAAGCTTGGTGCTGAGATATTTGCCACAAAGGGAAACGGATCAGCCAAGTGGTGGTAGGTCTGAGAGATCTGTCAGGAAAGAGCAAAATGAGGGAAATAAGGAAAACAACAGGAAGAAAGAGACTAGGATCTTGGAGGTTTTGGTTTGCTGTTCAAATACCTACCTGAAAGCATCTTTTAAATATTGAGTGTTTGCAACTTGCCCTTCAGGGTTCAGCTCCTGCATGGAAAGGCCTAGAGTAGCCGGGACTTCTCACACATCCAAGGTCCTCCCCTGTGCTTAGTAGTGCTGAAGAAGATAAGAAGCAAAAGCCTCTTTCTATTTTTATCATCTTTCTTTGAAGATTTGCAGCATTGTTGGGATTCTCTGGCATAAGGTTTGCCTGCCTGCTCACGGGCCAGGATAGGCTTTGGCGTTGTTCCACCGTGAGCCGATAATCACCCCGTGCGGAGCGGGGCCGGGAGGTTACGCAGCCCCAGAGGAATGTCTGTCCCTGAGGAGACAGTGCTGGGCTCAAACACCACTGCTGCTGAGTCAGATGGTGTCCAGGGTGATAGATGACACGTTGGGTGGCTGCTTCTCCCAGCCTGTCTCCAGGCCGTGGATAGTGGAGCTGCGGCAGGGAGCTTTCTGAGTCAGATGGTGTCCAGGGTGATAGATGGCACGTTGGGTGGCTGCTTCTCCCAGCCTGTCTCCAGGCTGTGGATGGTGGAGCTGCAGCAGGGAGCTTTCTCCCCAGCTGGGACACGGGGCTGTGGAAGGACCACAGCTGGTCTGTGTTTAGACCTGACCCTGCGCTCACAGGTGGAGGGCATTTCACAGGGTGGAACAAGTTATGTTTCCTGCAGGTATTTGATTAAGCTGATTCCTTTGGAGAGATTTAAAACCACGCTGTCACCGTTGTTGATACGTTGAGGCAGAGGGAGTGAGCAGAGGTGATGGGGAAGTGCCTGAAAATGTGGCTGCTGCCGCTTCCTTCCCGGCAAGGGGTCACTTGCAGTGACTCTGATGGAGCCCAGGTGCTTCCTGCTGTGTTTGGGGGGTGCCTGGGCTGTGCCCCCAGTTGGGGAACTTGCCCCTCTGGACCAGCACCTCTGCAGGGAGCTGGGTACAAACCTCTGAGCTGAAGGATGCCCTGGAGGCAAAGCAGGGGATGAGCAGTGGTGACAGGGAGGCTGTGGTGGGCAGTTCTCTCCTTTATTCCTTCAGCTTTTCTGTCGTAGAATCATAGGATGGTTTGTGTTGGAAGGGACCTTAAAGATACTACTGCAGTGATGCTGCCCTGGGCTCTGACATGTTCCTGACCTCGTTGGTCACCAGGGTGTACCTTTGGAGGGTTTTTCCTCCCCTTACACCAGGAACAACTATTGCGACGTGCTCTTGGCTTGGTGCTACTCAGAAGGGTTTTGTCAGTGTCCCTCCCACTCTGAGGTGCCCATTGGACCCCCTCCTCTGTTTCTGGTGAGACACCGTGGGCGTCTCTGCAGCCCTCCTCACCTCGTTGCCTGGTGTTGAACTTCTTGCAGAAGTCATACAGAATAAGACTCGTCACATCACTGGAGTCATTTTGTAAGAGGCTCCTTTTTCACTCCCTCCCACTCTGAGGTGCCCATTGGACCCCCTCCTCTGTTTCTGGTGAGACACCGTGGGCGTCTCTGCAGCCCTCCTCACCTCGTTGCCTGGTGTTGAACTTCTTGCAGAAGTCATACAGAATAAGACTCGTCACATCACTGGAGTCATTTTGTAAGAGGCTCCTTTTTCACTGCAGATATTTAAAGGCTTGCCTGGTATCCCACATCTAGGATCCACTGCTGTGGTAGGCATCCAGGTCAGCAGATGTCTCCTGTGAAGGACCTGCGGGACATCCCTACCCCAGAGAGGTTGCACTAGGGGGATACTTGGAGCATGCTACGCAGGAGCAGAGCACAAGGTTATCCCCAGTGTCCCAGAGCCCAGGACTTTGACAGTCAGCCCTAGTCTGCCAGGAGATCCACCTGCTCTTTTTGAGCCCAAATCTGGCAATCAGCTCGACACTGCCTGTGTCATCAGGACGTGACAGGCAGACTCTGGTGCTGCCAAGGCTGGGGCTTCACTTTGCTTTGTGCATCTCTGCATGTGAGACACGTCAGCTGAAGTCTGGTGGGCTCTTAAGATGAGCAGAGTCTCTCATCTGACTGCCCACCATCTCAGGCCCTCGACTTTCCAGGGCTGGGTTCAGCTGTGTCCCTTTCTCTCCCTCCTCCCCACACCCCTCAATCCCTGCCCCACTTCCCGTGCATGAATCCCTGCCTCAGAGCTGGGGTTAAAGTCCATCACCCCACCCTGGCAGAGCATCTCACGCATCTCACATGCTCTGAAGCACTCTCCTTCCACCCCCCCCAGGAGACCCTACCAAACCGTCTGGATTTAGGAGCGTCAAAGCCCCCACCACAAAGGTGGCCTCATCCATCGGGAATGCCCAGAAGCTGCCCATGTGTGAGAAGTGTGGATCTGGCATTGTGTAAGTAAGCCTGTCCCCAGGGGTTGCAGGCTGTGGCCGAGCATCCCATGCCCGTGTGAGGTGCTGAGGCACTGCCACCCAAAACCCTTCACCCACCCACACCCAGGCTCAAGGCACCTTCATTCTCACCAGCTTTGATAGCGCTGACTTTGCAGTTCCCCGCAGTGAGGCAGGAGTTGGGTGTCCCTCCAGAGACCAGTCTAAATGGAAACCAAAGCAAGTCCCTGTGATACAAACCTGGAGACAGACAGTTGTTGGTGCAGCGTTTTGCTTCCTACCTCAAATCTCTTTCCAACACCCAGAAACCAAATGACCTTTCCATTCAGACCTTGCATATTTAAGGTTTCTCATGGCTTGGTGGTCTCCCAGCAATGGAGCAGGGACTTGTCCTGCTGGTCAGAGGCAATGTGGGCAGGGAGAGCTGCGTTCTGCTGTAGGACCACACACCTCCACTGTGTCTAGGCAGACATAATTTATGTTGTCTTTATGTGTGTATGTCCAACCTACAGCACAGTAGAGCTGTTGACCATAAGTGTGACAGCAGGTGGACCCAACCCATGTCTTTGCTTCATCATTCAGTTGCTTGACCACAGAGTCTTCTACCCTCATTTTGTCCTTAGTGTTCACGTCCTTACAACCCCCTTAGCTTGACAGTTGACTCCAGGGCCCACCAGCATCATCATGGAAGAATTCAGATTTCGCTCGTGCTGCCCACCATGAGGTATCAGATGGTTGCTGAGACCCACTACACCATCATTGTATGGTCCTGGCCATGCTTGGTGCACCAAGGCCTGGCAGAGTCATTACAGAGGCAACCCATCCCCTGTAAAATATGAAACAGAGACAAACCCTACAATTATTCTACCAGCTGGGCAGAGCTGGAGAGAAAGCACAAGGCTACAAATAGCACTAAAACCTAATGAATTTCGGAAAATATAGATGGCTGCTGGAACAAAATTATACTCCTGGCACATTGTTGTGTTGCTGCTGGTGGGAGTTAACGAGTTGCTATGGAGTTTTCCCCATCATCTGCTGGGTTAAGCTGTGAAATTTTCCAGTAAGAGCTGGCCCACATTTGGCTGGATCCGTTCACTGCAGATCTGGATTTTGCTCCCCCAGATGGTCAAGCTGGTGCTTTCCTGCCATTTGATCCTGGGCATGTGACAGCCATCTGCTAAAGATGCCATCACAGGTGACAGGAGTGTCCCTGTGAAACTTAAAGCAGGCCAGTGCTAGGAAACACCTTCCAGAGGTGGGCTCCCATGCCAGCATGAGTTGAGTTCTATAAGCGCTGGTGACATCTCCCTGAGCAGAGGTAGAGCCTCTACGTTGACTTGTAGGAGCAGGAGAAGGTTGTCCACCTTCAGCCCTGGTGTGGGTCTGGGCTGGGGTGGCTGGGGAGGAGGGAGGCAGTGGTGGGTACGTGGTGCTGAGGGGTTTGCGGGTTCCTTTCCCCAGAGGGGTGTTTGTGAAGCTCCGGGACAAGCAGCGTCACCCCGAGTGCTACGTGTGCAGCGACTGCGGCACCAACCTCAAGCAGAAAGGACACTTCTTCGTGGAAGACCAGATCTACTGCGAGAAGCACGCGCGGGAGCGGGTCGTCCCCCCGGAGGGCTACGAGGTGGTCACCGTCTTCCCCAAGTAACGCGCGCTGCTCACACAAGGCCGGCGGGGATGGCTTCTCCGCTGCTGCTTTTCCTTGGAAAGCATCATCCCTGCTCCCCAAAATACCATTTGCAATAAGGAATGCTAGGCATGGCTTTGGGTTTCCTCGCCGTTATTAATCCTCCGTCTGTTCACATGAGATGTCACTAATTGTTCAACATTCTTTTTGTCTCCTCTTTCACTGTTTGGGTTTGGTTTTGTTTTTTTTTTTTTTTCATACACAGAATTATATTTTTTTTTCCCCTCCTTCGCGCCCAATCGCACAGGAAAATCAAGAGGCCAAAGCCAGAGATTACAATTCTGTCTCCCGGTTATTTTGCCTTCTGTTTGCATCCAATAAACGGGGTGAATCCACGAGGGAGAAGTGTCTGCTTTCTCTGGGGTTCCCAGGGCAGCAGGAGAGGTGGTGCCCAGTGCGGGGCCGTGTTTCATAGAATCACAGAATTATCTAGGTTGGAAGGGACCTTTAAGATCTTCTTGTCCAACTATCAACCTAACTCTGATATAAAAAGACCATCACTTTCCATTACCACATCCCCCATGTGTCCCTTCTGGTCCCCAACGCTCACAAACTGAGCTCTGTGGAAACACATCACCTTGAGGCTTGCTAGAAACCAGAGTCCTGGAGCAAAGAGGGGAAGGTTTTGGTGGCCACAGTCCCTGTTCCACCTGTCCCTGTCCATTCCATGCCAACTTCTCTCCCCCAGCACTGTAGGCTGGTGAGGATGAGTCTCACCACCACACACCTCCTTGTTCCAGCCCAGGGCAGAGTCCATGGCCATGGGATCCCATCTCCAAATGAGATGCTGACTGTTCTCTTGGTATAAAAATAAATGGTTTCTAAGACGTAGTGTCATCTTTGCTTTAAAACAAATTGCCAGAGGTTGAAAAGAGAAGGATTTGTAGCTGCACACAGGACCTCTCTGGCAGGCACGGGGCACCTCCACCCCTGGGAGCATCTGCAACAGCCACAGGTAAGAACCCAACCAAAACACAACCCAAAACCCAGTCTTCATCTGACACCAGGATTAAAAGCCTCCCAGATCAACTGTGCAGCTTTTTGTAAAGTCAGGGAAGGGACTGATTCTCCAGCCTGGCTAAATTTAGCTCATCCCCTCAGGTTCCTTCTATGGGCAGCAACAAACCAGCCAGGATGGCAGAGCTCGACCAGCAGCTCCTCATCTGGCTCATCCCTGGGAAGAGCCTGGCTTTCTTCACACCTGTACAAACCCTGGATAACAACACAAATTTATTTCAAGGTGATAGTGGGGGTTTTTTTTGGCCTGCTGGGGTGAGATCTCCCCTCACTGCTGCTAATGGGGGTTAATTCTCTCCCTTTTCCCCAGGGAAAGGCTCTCTGTGCTGCAGCGCTGGCCCCAACAAAAAGCCAGGGCAGGGGAGGAGAGCACAGACCCGAGGGCTGCAGGAGGAAACCTGCAGGAGGAAACCGCCTTGCCTGCCTCAAATCAGGGCTCAGGTCCCATCATGGGACCACACTCTCCCTCCTGACCTGCTTTCTCAG